GGGTGGGGGTTAAGAATTCCATTTTTTTACTTAAGTCTCTTCCAAGAAGTTCACACAACAAAGGCGAGTTGATTGCTCAATCACAAGTACAAAAAGTAGGTGCAGCACCTAGTATGATCATTACAAACCAAAGAGAACATCAAAAAAGGGGACGAAACCAGACAGAGACGCAAGATTTGGATCCATAAACATGATCTATATATAATGGTGAAATCTATGCAGCAAGAAATATCTCTGAATCTCAAAAGCATTCGAGGCCGTTCCATTAAACAGTATCACTGTTGAAGTCAAATGAATAAGAAAAAAAAGAAGTGTTGTTTTACATTTAAGCATTTGATAAAACAAAAACTGTACGAGGTTGGTGAGAAAAGGTGCATGTCTCAACACCATTCACACATACGTTTGAGTAACATCCCGAACATTAGAAGGCATAAAAGCTAAGATCATTAGCAATGCTAGAATGCAAATGGGAAGCAGCAGCAGCATAAAGGGTGGGGGTGGCAATGGTGGGAGAATCAGTGGGAGAATCAGCAATGATGCCGTGAGACAGACGAGTAAAAACAATGACTCCAAGCTGAAATAGCTCACCAAAAACATCCTTCTGCCGTGCCCTTGTGAGAGAGACCGACAATAATCTTTCCTCTTTCCTTCGAATAGAGGAGCAGAATTCTTTTTCAGAGTAGTCGTAGAATGCTTTCTTGGTCTTGTATCCATTGTGCCGCTCAGCTATTGATCTCGAGCTCAAGATCAATTCAGTAACCGGACAAAGTGCAATAGAACAACTCGGGCTGATATATTATGCAGAATGTGCCACCTAAACAAATCCAGGTGATTTAATATTAATCCGAAACTTCAACCAGGACTCGATGCCTTCTCCGATCTCGATATGATTGCAAAATTTTGTATTCCTTCAACACACCAGATCGTTACCCTACTAGCAAAACCTCAAGGGTGGAGCACCCAATTTGCTAATTTCTCCAGAATCTCAAGGTTTCTAGGACTTGGAAATTTTTGTGTACAAACCAAGGAAATGCACACTAATAGAGGATCCTTTGTGTTAACACAAATCTCAGAGCTAACAGAGGCAGTGGGGAAGGTGGAAATGCTCAGGAAACTCTTCAGATCAGCTTATGATCTTAAATGTCTCAGAAGTGAGCCTTACAATCGGAGTTTAGAGGAAATGTGACCCAAAGATTGCAGCAGTAAAACTTGGCATGAAACAAAGAAACAGATAGTCTTCCGTAACCACTTCTAAATATCTGAATTCTGTGTTTCTATATACAGATTCAGGCTGACTTCAACTCAGTACCCATGAGACGTCGTCCCCAACAATCCAACTGCAACGCACATTTCAGAACAATACAGAAAATATCAGATTCAACTACCAGAAATACAAGCCTTAAACTGCTATTCATCGAACAAATAAATAAATAATATATTCGTTAAACACAGGGAAACCTAACTAGCAAGTTATACTGCACGTTTTGCCAAGTTATCGATACAATTTGTCACATTCAGGCCAAATAAAAAAAAAATTCAATACAATTTAAAAATTATCCTCAATACCACCC